ACTGAAAGCTTTTCCGCTAAGGTCAGGAACACGGCAGGGATGTCCGTTATCACCACTGCTATTCAACATAGTACTAGAAGTCCTAGCCTCAGCAATCAGACAACAAAAGGAAATTAAAGGCATCCAAATCGGCAAAGAAGAAGTCAAACTATCACTCTTCGCAGATGATATGATACTATATGTGGAAAACCCAAAAGACTCCACTCCAAAACTGCTAGAACTTGTACAGGAATTCAGTAAAGTGTCAGGATATAAAATCAATGCCCAGAAATCAGTTGCATTTCTCTACACCAACAACAAGACAGAAGAAAGAGAAATTAAGGAGTCCATCCCATTTACAATTGCACCCAAAACTATAAGATACCTAGGAATAAATCTAACCAAAGAGACTAAGAATCTATACACAGAAAACTATAAAGTACTCATGAAAGAAATTGAGGAAGACACAAAGAAATGGAAAAATGTTCCATGCTCCTGGATTGGAAGAATAAATATTGTGAAAATGTCTATGCTACCTAAAGCAATCTACACATTTAATGCAATTCCTATCAAAGTACCATCCATTTTTTTCAAAGAAATGGAACAAATAATCCTAAAATTTATATGGAACCAGAAAAGACCTCGAATAGCCAAAGGAATATTGAAAAAAAAGCCAAAGTCGGTGGCATCACAATTCCGGACTTCAAGCTCTATTACAAAGCTGTCATCATCAAGACAGCATGGTACTGGCACAAAAACAGACACATAGATCAATGGAACAGAATAGAGAGCCCAGAAATAGACCCTCAACTCTATGGTCAACTAATCTTCGACAAAGCAGGAAAGAATATCCAATGGAAAAAAGACAGCCTCTTCAATAAATGGTGTTGGGAAAATTGGACAGCCACATGCAGAAAAATGAAATTGGATCATTTCCTTACACCACACACGAAAATAGACTCAAAATGGATGAAGGACCTCAATGTGAGAAAGGAATCCATCAAAATCCTTGAGGAGAACACAGGCAGCAACCTCTTCGACCTCAGCCGCAGCAACATCTTCCTAGGAACATCGCCAAAGGCAAGGGAAGCAAGGGCAAAAATGCACTATTGGGATTTTATCAAGATCAAAAGCTTTTGCACAGCAAAGGAAACAGTTAACAAAACCAAAAGACAACTGACAGAATGGGAGAAGATATTTGCAAATGACATATCAGATAAAGGGCTAGTGTCCAAAATCTATAAAGAACTTAGCAAATTCAACACCCAAATAACAAATAATCCAATCAAGAAATGAGCAGAGGACATGAACAGACATTTCTGCAAAGAAGACATCCAGATGGCCAACAGACACATGAAAAAGTGCTCCATATCACTCGGCATCAGGGAAATACAAATCAAAACCACAATGAGATATCACCTCACACCAGTCAGAATGGCTAAAATTAACAAGTCAGGAAATGACAGATGCTAGCGAGGATGCAGAGAAAGGGGAACCCTCCTACACTGTTGGTGGGAATGCAAGCTGGTGCAACCACTCTGGAAAACAGCATGGAGGTTCCTCAAAATGCTGAAAATAGAACTACCCTATGACCCAGCAATTGCACTGCTGGGTATTTAACCTAAAGATACAAACGTAGTGATCCGAAGGGGCACGTGCACCCGAATGTTTATAGCAGCAATGTCTACAATAGCCAAACTATGGAAAGAACCTAGATGTCCATCAACAGATGAATGGATAAAGAAGATGTGGTATATATACACAATGGAATACTATGCAGCCATCAAAAGAAATGAAATCTTGCCATTTGCGACGATGTGCATGGAACTAGAGGGTATCATGCTTAGCGAAATAAGTCAATCGGAGAAAGACAACTATCATATGATCTCCCTGATATGAGGGAGAGGAGATGCAACATGGGGGGTTAAGGGGGTAGGAGAAGAGTAAATGAAACAAGATGGGACTGGGAGGGAGACAAACCATAAGTGACTCTTAATCTCACAAAACAAACTGAGGATTGATGGGGGGAGGGGGATTGGGGGTGGGTGGGGTTATGGACAGTGGGGAGGGTATGTGCTATGGTGAGTGCTGTGAAGTGTGTAAACCTGGCGATTCACAGACCTGTATCCCTGGGGATAAAAATATGTTTATAAAAAATAAAATTAAAAAAAAAAAAAAAAAAAAGAAAGAAACAAAGGCATCCGGAGTGGGAAGGAAAAATGTAAAACTGTCTCTGCTTTGAGGACATCATACAGTATATAGAAAATTCAAAGAAATCAGATACCAAAAAATACTATTAAAGTTCAGCAAGGTTGCAATATACCAGATCAAAATAAACAAATGAATCTATTTCTATAGAACTAGCAATGAATATGAAAATAAGACAATTCCATTTGTAACAGCATAAAAAATAAATTGAACAAAGAAGTATAAGACTTCTGTAAACTACAACACATTGAAAGATTTTTAAAGGACGTAAACAAGCGGAAGGATGCCCCACGTTCACAGAGCAGTAAACTTAATGTTGCTAAGATGGCAGTACTCCAAACTGATCGACAGACTCAATAGAATTTCAGTCAAAATCTCACCTGGCTTTGTTGAAGAAACTGACAAGCAGATCCTAAAACTCATATGGAAATTCAGCTGGCACAGAATAACCAAAATAGTCCTTTAAAAGAACAACATTGGGGGTACCTGGGAGGCTCAGTCAGCGAAGCACTGCCTTCTGCTCGGGCAGTGATCCTGGAGTCCCTGGATCGAGCCCCACATCAGGCTCCCTGCTCAGTGCAGAGCCTGCGTCTCCCTCTCCCTCTGCTCCTACTCCCACTTGTGCTCTCTCTCTCACTCAAATTAAATAAATCAATAAATAAACTAAAATTAAATTAAATACAATGTTGGAGGGGTGCATGGGTGGCACAGTCAGTTAAGCATCTGACTCTTGGTTTTGGCTCAGGTCATTACCAGCCCTGAGTCAGGCTCCGTGCTCAGTGGGGGAGCCTGATGGAGATTCTCTCTCTCTACTCCTCCCACTGTCCCTTCCCTTAGAGAAATATTTTTAGAAAATTAAAATTAAAAAAAGGAGGAACCTGGGTGGCTCAGTCAGTTAAGTGTCTGCCTTCGGGTCAGATCACGATCCCAGGGTCTTAGGAACGAGCCCAGCTCTCAGCTCAGTGGAGAGCCTGCACTTCCCTCTCCCTCCACTGCTCCCCCGTTTTTGTTCATAAAATCTTTAAAACAACATTGGAGGAGTCATACTCCCTGAATTCAAAGCTTACTGCAAAGCTATAGTAATCAAGGCTGTACATACGGTACTAAAATAAGGGACAAACAGACCAATGGAATAGAACTGAGAATCCACAATAAACCCTCATAGCTATAGTAAACTGATTTTTGACAAGGGTGTCATGACAGTTCCATGGAAAAAATAAGTTGTTTTTTTTTTTTTCCAAAAAAAAGTGCCAAGAGACAACTGGATATCCATAAGCAGAACAATGAAGTTAGACCCCTACTTCACACCAGATACAAAAAATTAACTCAAAATGGGCCTTAGGACTAAATGTAAGAGGTAGGAATTATAAAACTCTTAATATTTTCAAGATCTTGGATTAGGCAAAGCGTTTTAAATTACAACACCAAAGGAACACACAACAGAATAAATAATAAACTGGACTTCATCAAAATTAAAAACTTTCATATTCCGATGAACACCATGAAGAAAGTAAAAAAAATAAACTCACAGAATAGGAAAAAATACTTGCAAATCATAGCTAATATCTTTATATGAATATATAAAGAACTCCAACTCTATTATAAAATAACTCAATTTAAAAATGGGTAAAGTGTATAGACATTTCTCCAAAAAGATACAAATGGCCAATAAAGCACAAGAAAAGATCCTCAATGTTAGTTATCGTGGAAATGCAAACCCAAACGACACTGACCCAGGGCCCCGCACCCACAAGCATGGCTACAAGGACAAAGACAGGTAAGAACTGGCCAGCACGTGGAGAAACGGGACCCCTCACACTGCTGGTCAAAATGTAAAAGAGTGTGATTGGTTTCTGAAAACGGTCTGGCAGTTTCTCATTGAACATTGAGTTACCATATGACCCGGCAACTCCACTCCTAGGTATACACCTAAGGGAAATGAAAACTTACCTCCATACAAAAATGTCTACACGCATGTTCATAGCGGCATTATTCATAATCTGCCTAAAACTAGAAATAACCCGAATTCCTATCAACTGACAAATGAATCAACAAAACGTGGCCTACGCACACGATACTGTCCACCCGTAAACGGGTGAAGCAGTCACACACGCGAACACGCAGGTGAACCTGGAAAGCTGCACACTAAGTCAAACGATCCAGACATACACAGTCACACGGCTATGATTCTCCTGACAGGACACGTCCAGCTACGCAAATCGATGGAGACAGAAAGCAGATTAATGGTTTTCTAGGAGTGAGTGGGGAGAGCGAACGGTTATGGGGTTTATTTGGGGGAACAAGAATGTTCTAAAATGGACTGTGATGATGGCTGCACAATTTTGTGAATAAACGAAAACCCAACAAATTGTAACTATATGTGGGTGAATGGAATGGTCTGTGAATTCTCTCTCAATAAAGCTGCTGTATTTATAGCCAACAAACGCAGGTTTCCCAAAGGCCTTGAGCAGCCGCTTCATGGGCCGAGCAGCACATGCCCTGCCACCAGGGGCGCCCAGCAGCCCCACCCCTGCCCCGCTGGTGAGGGGACCACAGTACTGAAGCCTCTCCCAGGGGGCTGTAGACTTTCACTGAAGCAACCCTGGTGATGCCCTGAGCCCAAGGACAAGGCAGAGCCCGGATGCCCTTCAGAGTGTCCACGTCCTGGGAACAGCCGGCGTGTCTCAGGGAACCAAACCCACAGCGGAGAGCAGAGATAAATGCCAATCCGTCTGCAGACAAGGGAACAGGATGCCTGAGGAGAGGCGAGGAATGCCTTCTGGAGTCCTGGGCAGAAAAACTCCCAGAATTACCTGCTGGTTTTGGTCCTTTTTTTCACTCGGGTCTCTGGAAGCAACGGCCTCCTTCCCCTTTCTCGTGACTTCTTCTATCCGCTCCTCACACTGCTCCTTCACCTCCTTCATCTGACTGATGCACTGGCTCCTCCGGGGAGAGAAAGCAAAGGGAAAGACAAAGATTTAGGGATGGGTCTACACCGCAAGTCTCCCCTGCCGTGACCGTACAATCCACCGCGTCAGTAACACACGGCTCGTCTTCTTCCTGGGTCCAGCTCTCCACCTCGAGAGGGCACTTAAGGCATGTGGTTTCAGTACTAAATGGCAAGAAAACTGGAGTTGGCTGAAACTTCAAATTTGTCACACTGTTCTAAAACAGGTGAACTTCATTAGTTAGGAAAAAATAATTCTTACGGACACCTGGGTGGCTCAGTCGGTTAAGCGTCTGCCTTCGGCTCAGGTCATGATCCCAGGGTCCTGGGATCGAGCCCCATGTTAGGCTCCGTGCTCAGCGCAGAGTCTGCTTCTCCTTCTCCTTCTGTGCTCGCGCACACACACACACACATACACACACACACACACTCTCTCTCTCTCTCTCCCCCCCCCCCCCCCAAACAAATAAATAAAATATTTTAAGAAGTTTTTTAAATACAAACTGTGGTATAATCAGAGATAGCTATATGGTCTTTTCCCCAGCTATTAGCACAAAGCTCCTAAAGAGCTTGGAATTTCCTGACTTATAGGAGGGTCTTGTCAGTCAAACGAGCCCCCCTGGACCACACCCGAGTTTGTGCTAATGTGCCAGCTCACAGAGCCTGACAATGGGGGCTGGCGGCCAGAGGGGTCACCCCCATGACTAATAGGGCTGGAACTTTCAGCCCCACCTCCCTCCCTCCAGGGAACAGGGAGAGTAGAGCTGGAGTTCAGTCATGTGGCCGACGATTTAATCAATCGTGCCTATGTAGTAAAACCTCAGGAAAAATCTCTGGGTGATGAGGCTTGACAAGCTTCTCAGTCGGTGAACACCAGGTACTAGAAAGGTGGCACCCCAACTCCACCAGGAAAGGAGCTATTTCTCCTACAATGGCCCTAAAACTAAGACTCCACTATGTAGCTGTTCCTGAGATACAGCCCTTCGAATGAGCCTCTCGTCGTGAGCACAGCCCGGGGCAGAGTTCTGTCAGTCATCCTAGAGAAGTACCAACCCTGAGCAGTTCGGGAAGCACTGAACTTGTAGCTAGGAGACAGAGTACAGGTGCCTTGGGGACACGCAGAACTTGTGGATGTCATGTGAAAAGGGGAGGGTCTTGTGGGACTATAAAGCCTGTGGGGTTTGTGCTAACACTAGACAGTGTCAAAATCCAGCTGGACTTCCACATCCGGGAAGATGGGATAGATGGATTTTTCCCTATTTCTCCCACTAAGTACAACTGCAAACCCTGGGCACTGTATTTAAAACAAACAGAAGAGGACTGAATGGTAGGAGAGAAGGCAGACTGGCCAGAGGCTTCGGGTCTATGGAACACCCCAGTGGTGACACTGGAGAGCACGTGGGAAGAAGCCTGTGTTTCAGCCCCCACTGATGGGAATGTGTCCTCTCCCCTCGGGGTGGCAGCCAAGGAAGTCAGCGATGAGTCAGGGCTCTCCCAACAACCAGAAGTTTCAAATGAAAACCACCATCACCTCAAGCACCAGGAAGATCTCAAATGAGTGAAGAGAGACCACCAATAGATTTCAACGCCGACATGACAGAGAAGTTAGAATGATCTGACAAACATTTCCAAACAGCCACCAGAGAAATGTTTCAGTGAGCAATTTGAAGATGCTTGAAACAAATGAAAGACTAAATATCTCAGCAAAGAAACAGAAGATGTAAGGAAGAACCACATGGAAATTTTCAAACTGAAAAACGCAATAACCAAAATTAAAGAACTTAAGGACTGAGTGCAAGTAGCAGAATGGAGGCAAGAATCCGTGAACTGCAAGACAGAACAACAGACATGACCCAATCATAGTAACAGAAAACAGACTGGGGAGAAAAAGAAAAAGAAAACAAACCCACTGGGGGATCTGCACAACTATGACAAGAGATCTAACATCCCCGTCCTCAGTTCCAGGAAGGAGGAGACTTTCCCAGTGGGGCCCACATAACTAGTCACCTGTACAACCATGCCCAAAATATTACTCCTCTTAGCTCACCTCCAGGACCACAGGATTACCTCTGCCTCGCCCAGACCACTCTGAGCTCCTCACGTCCTCTTTCTTTTCTAGAACAAGTCCTAGCTACCCTTCTTTACTCCCCACTAGGTAGGATTCCATTCTAAGTGACCTTCCCTAAGAAGGTCTTTTTTTGGGTAATAGAGAAGGATTCACGGAAATGACTGTGTAAGAACAGTATCCAAAGGCACTTTCAAAAAGTGGGTAAGTTAGCTTATCAGGTTTGGCTGGGTGAAACAGAAAGGGCAAATGATAGCAATCTGCTCCTTCCGCAAACTGAAGTCTCATGTAGGTAGCCCAGCACCAGGATGGCCGTTCTGAGTCATCAGGGATACAGCCTTCTCTGTTTCATAATCCTAGCACGGGTTTCCGGCCTCATGATCCAAGATGGCTACAGCAGCCCAGCCATCTTGTGTGAGTCCCAAGCAACAGGAAGGAATGAGGGGAAAGGTAAATGAGATGGGGTGTGGTGGACCATCCTCACTTTCAGAAGACTTCCTACGGTCCTGTGCTTCCACTTCTTTCCCACGCTGTCCAGAACTTGGTCACCAGGCCATACTTCACTGCGAGAAGGGTTTGGAAATGCAGGAATTATATTGTGGGAGAAAATCATGGATCTAGATAGGCCATGGCCAGTCTTTGCCACAGGCAGTTTTAAAAATATTTTGAGCCACAAAATATTAATAATTGCACACTGTCCCAAGTTGAGAAGATACCCAAAATAGACTGTTCTGTTAATTTAGATTAGAACGGGAGACACCAATCTTGCAAGACAGAACTTATGCTTGATTTAGTATGAATACAGCTGGTAAACTATAGAAATAGTCATCAATGTCTGTATACAACACAGGTTAGTACACACGTAGACCTCTTTACCCTGCAGCTGATGGGGCCTAGAAACAACCACACCCCAGCAGCAATAAACACACCTAGTACCCAGATCTTGGCTTTTTTTTTTTTTTTAAGGTTTTATTTATTTGAAAGAGAGAGAGAGCATGAGATCAGGGAGGGTCAGAAGGAGCAAGGGCCCTGATGCAGGACTTGATCCTGGGACTCCAGGATCATGACTTGAGCCAAAGGCAGTCGCCCAACCAACTGAGCCACCCAGGTGCCCCAGAACTTGGCTTCTTAATACCACTCTCCAATTTAGAGAGAGAGAGAAATGGTTGATCGAGGGGGCATCCAACTGGGTCCCTCCCAGTACAGAGGGAGAGATAAAGGAGTAACTTTATGGTGAAGAAAGCAAACAAACACTACCTCAGTAAGGTAATCAAGATTATCATCAACAAGGGACAAGCCATATGGATAGTATGTACCCTTGATACGAAATAATGAAAGTGGTACTTGACCTCTGTGGCCTTCCTCCTAGAAATGTGTTGCCCAGTTTAACCATGAAAAAAACACCAGATAAATCCCAACTGCAACAAACTGTAAGAAAACATACTATAGGCGCCTGGGTGGCTCAGTGGGTTAAAACCTCTGCTTTCGGCTCAGGTCATGATCCCAGGGGATCGGCAGGGAGCCTGCTTCCTCCTCTCTCTCTCTGCCTGCCTCTCTGCCTACTGGTGATCTCTCTCTGTCAAATAAATAAATAAAATCTTTAAAAAAAAAAAAAAAAAAAACATACTATAAGACACCCGACCAGCACTCCTTAAAACTAACAAGATCATAAAAAAATAAGTCTGAGAAACGGTCACAGCCAAGAGGACTCTAAGGAAACATGAACAGACAGACTGTGGGGTCCGGGAAGAGATAAAGGACATCAGGGGAAAATCGAGGAAACACAGACAAAGTACGAACTTTAGTTAACGATGGATCCATACTGGTCCATTAACTGAGCCAAACAAGCCCCATCCGTGGAAAGCGTTAACAGCACGGAAACAAGGTCTGTGGTACGCAGCAGCTCTCGTAATCCTTCTACACAGCAGCTCTTGTAATCCTTCTGCAAACCTGAAACTGCTCCAAAATTTAAGCTTCATTTTTAAAAAATAAAAAGAACTGGAGGATGCCCAGGCAGTATCAGAAAATTGTTACTGGAGCCCATCACCTAGCTCAGGCTGAGCTCCCTTTTAGCTAAGATATGCTGAGGCATCACCAGAGCTTTCAGCCTAGAGTTTAAGAGCATCCTGTGTGTCAGGGTTGTAGAGTAATTGAGAGAATTACACACTTGTACAAATAAGGAAGTTGGGAGGTGACCTGAATGTGGGCTGCTGACCAGGGTCAGAGAGAGAGAGATAAGGCTGAAAGAAGCCAGACCTGGGGTTTCCTGGCTCTGTGCCATGCTCTCTCTAGGGCCCAGCTGCCTCTTCTGGGTCACGGGCCCTTCAGCTCTCACTCAGCCCACAGCTCTTGTAATGTGACCTACGGTGCAAAGGAGTCCGTGGGTCCCCAAGAACCACATGCAGAGAAGAGCATCAGGGGTTGCAGACAGAGCACAAGACAGACTTCCGGACTTTGGACAGCTTACAGATCAAGAGAAGACTCGCTGAAAAATTTAGATAAAACGGTCACAAACAGGCAACTCGCAGGTGATAGACTAGTACGCAGTAGTTTGAACACATAAAACAAGAAGAGAGACTGCCTAAATCCCAAACGTACTAAACATGCCAGTTCACTGTTAGCAGACGGCATCCCAGACGCTTGGGACCAGCCAATGAACAGGGGCACAGCCATTCCCGAACATTCAGAAAACTACAAATGGGAAATACGTACTGTTTTCACCTGCTCTCAGCCCTGCCAAAACCAAGGACAAAGAGCCTCGCTCTCCCAGCCTTGCGGGTGGAGGCCAGCTTCCCCCATTCCAGCTCCACAGCGGTAAGGAAACAGCCTCAGAATGAAGCTCAAACACCGGGACGCAGGCCATGGGGACGGTGACAGTGTGACGTCCCGAAGGCCTCAGGTGAGCCTCCGCTTCCATGCACGTGCCAACCGTTCAGCCGCCAACTAGAGCGAACACGCGGACACGCAGGACCTGCCACCAGGGTGATCACGGATGGTGCGATCGATGCGCGGGTCGTACGCCACACCGGAATCTATGCAGGCGGGTGGCTTGATCGTCCAGGACACAATCTCAGGGCAGTGCTGGGTCTAGACCAGTAACAGCTTTGGCAAACTATTTCCTCATGGCGTGGAAATGAGAGGACAAGCAGTTCACGTGAGAAGACAACCCTACGTGCTCCAGGGAGGAAGCCTGCAAGGCCGCGTGTGACCAAGACCGACAAGAACGTGACCGCTTAGTGACGTCTGCCACAGGGGTGGGAGCGAGGAGCGGGGACGCCGATTCAGAAGAACGAACACTAACGAGTGCATCAGGAAGCCGGCCTCGCTGTCCGCTCTTCCAGTCCCAGCACTGCCGGTAGAAAGGGTTCGGGCCTGACAAGGTGTTTCCAGAGCAGCTGTGAGGGTGACCTTCCGCTGTCCCATCAACGGAAGGCACGACTTCGCAGATATTGCTAACAAGTGATCTGCACCTTTCATCAGGTCCAAAAGGGTCTCTAACCCAAAGACAGCTTCCAACACTCCATGAACATCATCCCCAGGAAACGCACCTATCTGGGATAACATTTTGGGCACGACAACCTCAATACCAACTTCAGCCAAAACGGGTTTCAAATTAGCCATCAACCTCCTAAGAGAAAAAGGATGAGTCCAGCAGGCCTGGCCACTCTCCCTGTCCGCTCCGACATGGGGCGCAGAGCCGCCCTCCCCGTTGCTGGGCCTGGCCGACTACTGATTTCCAGTGAGGTCAGCTCCTTCTGAGTCAACATAAATCAAGTGAGGGCATTAACGGCTTATTCTATTTCAAAGAATGGAAGGGAAGTGCGTTTGAAGGTATCTTCTAAGGATGAATAATACAGAGACTGGGCTGTCTTCATTTCTGTCTGAGTGCTAGCGATCGTCGATGACTGGCCCAGCTCAGGGGTCGTCAACTGAACACCACCGTGTTTGAGGCCAGGGAAAACTCCAATATGAGGTCTGCCCTGTGCACTGCAGAATGCTGACCGCAGGTCTCTGGACATTGCCAAAGGTCTCCTGGGAGCAAAATCGCCGACCAAAATTGAGAACCACTGGCCTGGCTAAAGAAGGTTCCATACGCATATTTTCTAATTACATTTCCCTTCTACTGACGTTAGTGCATGTCCTCTGCATGTTTATATATGTGGGGCTTCCTGGTTTTAGTAGTATTTTGTTTTAAAGTGATCAGGATGCTACCACAGTGAGTGGACCATCTTTTGGAAGGACCTGAGAATCCCGGTGAGGGCAGTGGGGTGAGGAAACTTATTCAGAAGGCAACTTGGCAATTTATGACACTGAACCTACAGGTGAGTCCTTTTTAGAAGGAAATAATTCAAAATAATTATCTTTAAAAGGTATACACATTGCTATCAGGCTAGTCAGAATAATCAAAAACTTAGAAGTAACCGAAATACCCAAACACGGACATCATGAGGTAAATTCTGCACCTCCACAATATTAACCAGCCATTTTTAGTGATGCTACATTTTGGAGCAGTACAGACTTCTATTTATAAATAACACAAGCAAGTGGAAAACAATGATTTAAAACTGTTACCAGTGACTGCAATTATGTGAAAAATCCACATACCTTGGACACAAACCAGGAAGAAGTCAGCCAACGGTAAAGAGGACGGGGCTCAGAGGTGGCTGTTTCCAAATCCCAGACCCCCTGTGCCTGAGTTAATGCTGCTCTTATCGGGGAAAACAATACACAGACTAGGACTTACTCTCTATTCCCTACAACTGGTTTTTACTCTCTTACTATAGGGTTTAGCCAACCTTTTGGAAGTTTATTGTTTTGTTTTGGTCATAAAAATCCTCCCAGAGGTAAATGTGTAGGGCTTTTGTACGCAATTGAGGTTCTCATCCGCTTCAAACAGACAGGCCTGGCCGTAAGCTGGGATGGCGGCAGCGTGGGGAGTGCGGCTATGAGTCACGCACACCCAGAATGCGCTGACGGCACAGATCCTAAGTGTTCTCACCACACACGCACAACGAGCATGTTTAATGAGCTTGACCCGGGACACTACACAATGTCGAGGATATCAAAATTCCATGCTTTATACCTTAAATATAGACAATGATTATCTGTCCATCATACTTCAATAAAGCTGAAAAATAAAAGCGCTCCCTTCTCACTGCAGAAATGTGAAGAGACGCTAGGAGTCTCACAGAAACAGAATGTCCACAAGCCAACACCCAGAGATAAACCCCGGATCTGATGCCAGAGACACCTTTCAGTCTAGGAGTGGACGAAGGGCGTATCTGAGCACTTCCCGAAGCCATTTTTAAAGGCTTTCTATTACTGACTTAACCAGCACACCTGCCCTGTAAAACTTCACGGAACTTTACAAGTATGTTGACAGGCCATTTCCTGCTCCGGGACGCTGCCCTCCCGTGTATTCTGAATCATGAGCCACCAGCTGGTCCTCTTCCAGAGCTTTCTGAAGCTCGGCTCACACTTACATGAGGAAGTGCGCAGGGCCTCCTGCAGAACCCGGACGTGCAGTGCACACCCACCCGCTCACGCCCACTGCTCAGAACACAAAGCACCCCCACCCCTTGGGGGCTGCACTTACAGGTCATAGGAGAACTTCCGCTCCAGGTTGGTCTGGTTCCTCTGGAACTGGAGCACGTCCTGCTGCAGACGGCCGTAGTTCTTCTGCAGGGCCTTTAACTGGTCTGAGGCCAGAGGACCACCCAGGAGCCGGTAGGTCGCCAGCGTGGCCGTCACAACAGCAGCAGATGTGTCACAACACAGTGGGCAAGGGCACACAGGAGAGTACAGAGGGGAGGAGAGAGGGAAGAGAACGTTCCAGAACCGTGGAGGAGCCTTGGAAATCCACAACCCAACCGGAATCTTACAGTCTCTCTAATCGCTTTTGACCTCTGACCTTCAAAATGCATTAGGAGGTTCTGTTCAGCTGTTTCTTAGACATCCTAAACCCTAAGCTGTCCCACAAGGTGACCCATGCCACGGTGTCCCCTGGTCCCCAGAAGACTTCCCCTTCAGCCTGTGAAACGTGGATTTCAACATCTGCTCAGGTAAGCAGCCGCTCAGGGCAGAACCCCGTCTCTGGGCCCAGGCTGCCGGCCGGCTGACCCCCCTGCTTACCTCCTGTCACTCACCGCAACCAGCCATTCCCCGGGCCTGTGCCCATTTAATCCCCACCCCCCAGCTGGGAAGCAGCATGCTTTCCTTGAGGAGACTCATCAGCCCTGCTGCCCTGAACTCTTGGCTCCTAAAAGTCTTGCAGAAAACAGCAGCCGCTGACCAAGGGCGGGGGGAGAAAGAAGAGCTGCCACAGAGGGGACAGCAGAGTGGCCGGAAGGCTGCAACCAGCCTGGGACACAGCCCTAGACACATACCCGCTTCCCCGGGGTCTGTCCCCATGACTCCAAACCTACAGGGCTTCCTGGGGGAAAATGAAACGAAAGTGAAGGATTCAGTGAAATGCCAAAGACACAGTAACAAGCCTCCATCTCATGAGCAGTTCTAGGAGATGCCCCAAGACTTAAAACTGGAGGGTTGTAAAATCACTCAGAGGGGCTGGAGGCTGAGGCAGGGGACTGACCTCAAAGGGTTGGGGGGCACTTCCTGCAAGACAGGGTCTGGTCATGGCTGCGTTGATCTAGGGGATGGGGCATTTGTCCAAACACAGAGCTCTGCACTACAAAGGGTACACTTTACTGGGTGTAAATTACACCTCAATAAACTGCACATTTAAAAAAAAATTCCCATAATCAAATCAAGTATGGGGCGAGGGACTACTGCTCAGCAACAGAAGGAATAACCTACTGACGTCCACGACGTGGATCGTTCTCAAAAGGCCAGACAAGAAAGGGGAGCTCTGCAAAGCCCCCGGCAGTCCAGGGACCCACATAACTTTGTAAAACCCTGAATGTCCCCTACTCGTATTCTTAGAACCCACTGTGGGACAAGAACCCTAGACCAGCACGGTCCAACAGAACTACAAGGCAAGCCACGTAGGTAATCTTCCTAGCAACCACATTTTTAAGAACCAAACCAGTCTTAAGCGGTCTGTGCCTCAGTTTCCTGCCCTCTAAAATGGGATAATATGCTGCTCGCCTCAGAACCTGGGGAGAGGAGTGAGCGAGCGGACTGCAGAGCTCAGAAGGGCACCTGTGCATTATCACTTTTAATAACACATTTGACTGAACTCGACAGCTATGCAACATTACCTTGCCAACACATAGTGAATACAAAAAAACTATGAATGAGATATTTTATGTTCTCTCTTTCATACTACATTTCTGAAATCTGGTGTGTACCAGTTAGAGCACATCTCAACCCAGACATTAAATCTGCACTGGGAATGCTTCATCTGAATTTAGGTTTTATCACATGCACAGTTAAAAAGTAGACTAACATATTAAGCTGTAAATACTTAGTTCTCCCAGTAACAGAGTCGACTCAGAGTTTCAGTCTTTAACTTAAATCACTGAAAATCACACAAAAATTTAAAATCCAATTCCATCCCACTAGCCACACTTCAGGGTTCACTGGCCATAGGGCTCATGGCCACCACTCTGGACAGTGCAGCTCTAGACAGACCTACCTGCCCAGAGGCTGAAGTGAGGCTTGGGGCAGGGGTGGGCATAGGAGCTTCCTACCCACGGTAAAGGTCGGCCCCATGGGACCCAGCTCTCCTTTCACCAGGCCCCAGGACCACCCAGGGCCTGCCAAGCTGCCCAGTCACAGCCAATGGGGGAGCCAACCAGAGAGGGGCTCACCCCAGGACTGCCCTTGCCACTGCTGCTTCCTAGGGCCCAACGGAAACCAGACCCGGCTGCCAAACTGATCAGGGCAGCAAAGAAATGGAATTAAATTGGGCTGGATAATTGTTACAGTTTTCATAAAAGAAATCTGAATTCAGGGTTACCCATTTAAAAGAAATCCTAAAATCCTATATACACCACACATACTATATTTATTTGTGTGTGTGTGTGTGTGTGTGTGTGTGTGTACAGATGTATATATCTATATATATAGATACACATACAGATCACCTATCATTCATATATATGTGATCTGTTCTGGTATACTTCCTAACCTACCAAAAAGTGAGCATCTGAATTCTGTACCTAATACCTTACAATGTGTTCATTAACATTTTTAAAAGGAAAAAGCTGTTTAAGGAACTGTTTGGCAAAAAGAATCCAGTAAAGATTAGTCAATTACTCATGATCCTACCCATCATTAGATTAGAATAAAAGCCACTAGAAAAGGATGAGAGGAAAGGCGGGCTTTTCCTAAAAGGCCTAACATCTGGTGTAAAGGAGGGGACTGGAACTCACCTTGCAGGGTTCTGATGAGCTTCTCACCTGTGGTGATATTATGCACTAAAACCGCCTGCAAAAGAGAAACACAGAATGAAACGCGCCCCAACCTAACAGCTTAGAAGAGCCTGGATAAGATGTTCTCATTGGGAAAAGGGAGCAGCGATGCTCGTCCCCCACCAGCTGTTGGGAGGGACGGGCACAGCTCTCCTGCTGAGCTCCCGATGGGATGGTGCTGCACCCACACGGACCTGGAAAAGGAGCTCCCGTGGTGAGAGGTCTGCTGTCCCAACAAGAACCTGTAACCCGAGCAAGGGCTAAATGGAGCCTCTGGCTGTTTGGCCCTGAGATGTGTTTCCTCCATGGAAGCTGCAGCAGCAACTTGGGACCTCTTGGGGGTGGGGGGGAGTGTTGGGGGTGCAATCCCGTCCTGAGCCACGGGTGTGACTACACCCTGGGGAGGGAACAGAGAAGAGGAAGAGCTTCCATAGGCGGCGGGGGGGGGGGGGGGGGGGGGGGGGGGGGGGGGGGGGGGGGGGGGGGGGGGGGGGGGGGGGGGGGGGGAGAGAGCGGGGACACGGGGGCTCACGTGAAGTGACAGCAAGCTGGGGAGGCTGAAAACAGAGGAGGAAGGACAACACAGGACTCAGGGAACTAAGAAAACCGAGGGGAAGGTGAGGAAAGGGCGTGTGGCGTGTGCGTCACGAGCAGCCTGTGAACCTGTGGCCACGGTCACCAGGTGCCCTTCTGAGCTCTGCGGTCCGCTCGCTCACTCCTCTCCCCAGGTTCTGAGGCGAGCAGCATATTATCCCATTTTAGAGGGCAGGAAACTGAGGCACAGACTGCTTAAGAGACTTTCTTCACAGCCAAAAGGCAAAGCCTAAACCCAAGCGCCGGCAGGCCCGATCCAGAAAGCAAGCTGGTGCTCGTCGCATGCCGAATTAGGACACCAGGCCAGCAGGCTGCACCCTGTGCCAAAGCCAACAAAAGCCTGAAAGAGAGGTGATCGGAATCTTCAGTATGAGAGCGCACACACGGGTGCGGCTTTGTACACACAGTGAAAGGTCACGAGCAACAAAGCCTGCGAAACACACACCCAGGCCACGCGGCCCACAGCTTGGGGACACGTTTCCGCCTGGTTCCTGCCCAACGGTGGACAATGGCAACCGTGCCACCTCCCACGTCTGCGCCTCCGGCTTCCTCCCGGACCTCTGTCCAGCCCGGACCCTTCCCTTGGCCCGGACAGAGCTTTCTGGAGTACAGGGGTGCACCGGGCAACGCAACGTGGCCAAACAAATCATGTTTATTTGGGGAGATCAGAGGACTCGGAACATTTCCTGGCACACCAGGAAGGAAGTCACAACGATGGTATCACATCGCTGGGAGAGATTATCAAGAGGTGCTTCTGCAGATACCCTAGCGGGCAGGGGAGACAGGAGAGCCCTGGGGACGGGGACGCACGCAGCAGGGAGTCCGACAGCCCTGCGCAGGGAGGCGTGCCCAAGTTCAGCACACACACAGGATCTAGTGGCTCCCACTGAGCCGCCAAGAACTCAGAGCAGAATCTTGAAGAGATGTGTGCGCTGGAATGTTTGCGGTAGCACTACTCAGGACAGCCCTGAGTGAGGAGCAACCATCCTCCCGGCCGGTGACCGGAGGAAGGAAACGCAGCAGCTACAGTCAGCGGATGTCATGCAGCCTTTCAGGAAAACGTGTGCCATGTACTGTTCCATGCATGAACCTCGAGCATACTCTGCAGAGCCAAGTAAGCCAGTCACGGGAGGACGGATACGCTCTGATTCCACTCGAGTGTATGTTCATATAAATATATATATTCCACATAAATCTATATAAATACGTGTGTGTGTGTGTGTGTGCGTGCGCGCGCACACATACTTTTTTTTTTTTTTTAGAGCACACATAAGCAGGGGCAGTGGGGTGAGAGGGAGGAGCAGACGGAGAGAGAAACTCAAGCAGATTCCACGTCCAGGATGGAGCCCGACACAGGGCTCGATCTCATGACCCAAGTCATAACCAGGAGCTGGATGCTTAGCCGACTGAGCTACCCAGGTGCCCCCAGGACACTCTCATTTGTTCCTTCTCCACTCACTCCCCTTGGCCCAACTCCAAAAACCCCACACTGGAGTCTGTACCTGAGGGTCGAGGAAGCATCTGAGGAAATGCCTGTCTCCCATGCGACTCTTATCTTCCAAAGAAAAGATATTTTCGTTATCTTCCAGCACCTACTTACTTATGCATGGAAAAGTACAGTCTGCACCGAAGTAAATGAGAAAAGGATGATAAAATGCCATCAACATGTTTTATATGCAGTTTTATATTTATTTAAAATCTTGTTAAATCATTTTCAGGAAACAATGGAAATGTTTCTAGCTTTTTGGAGATTCAGTAAAAAAAAAATCTGCACTAAACAATATTATTTTTAAATGAAATATATATTCTCCTCTAAACAACTTCCTATTTCTCACATTTTGGTGAGAGTGACTCTGGGAGACGCTGCACTTCCCGATGTGTGTGGAGTGTCCCCGGGGACACTCAGCAGCACTAACGACACCAGAACGTAACTGGAAACTGAACTCAGAGGACCTCAGGATCCATCACCCACGTACAAATGTGTTATAACTGTCTGAGAAACGAGTGCATTTGATCAAACTATTTCTGCATTCGATTCCTAGAAAAAGCAGCTCAACATTTTTCAAAGCAGTAGTTCAACAATAAATTCTACCTCTCTAAAAGCTCCATAAAATGTAAATGACTAACTTTTTAAAATCCTAACTTTTGGAAAGCTTGCTGCAAGGGTGACACAGATCACGTGATAAAGGAGAAAAGATCCCCTCCATGGCTCTGTTTCGCTCATTGAAATAATCTGCTTTGAAGGCCAGAGGCCCCCTTCCCAGAAGCCGGACTCACATGCCCCTCAGACTACCTAAGCCTTGTCCCCTATGCCTGGAGAAGATCTATGTAACGACACTGCTGTTAGTGCCTCGGGGAGAAGATCTCAAAGTGGTGACCGGTGAATGACACAGAGAATGAAGGAAGAATATGCAACATTCCTTCGTCTTCCCCATCCCCCTCACCAATTTCGGAATCTCCCAGAGCAGCACTATCCAAGAGAAAGGTAAGGTCGGTCCCGTACAGAAGGCTCACGATTTCTAGTAGTCACATTAAAGTGGAAAGAAACAGACTGGGTGAAGGATTGGAACAGACATTTCCCCAAAGATGATACACAAATGGCCAAAAAGCATGAGAGTGACGCCCACCATCCCCAGAAACACAAATCCAAATGAGAAGACAGCACATCATACACACTGATGCGGCTGCAAGTTAAAAATAAAAAGCAAAAAGGAAAGTAAGGGTGAGCAAGGATGTGGAGAAAGTGCAGAGAAACTGGAACCCTCAGATGCAGCTGAGGAGAATGGGAAATGGCGCAGCTGCTGTGGAAAGTGGCTCGGCAGTTTCCCCCCAAATTAAACAGTTGTGACATGACCCTTACTCCTCTTCCCAGGTTTATACCCTAGAGAATCATAAACATACGTCCATCCAACGCCTGTCCCCAGACATTCACAGAATTATTCAGAACTGCCAAAAGGTGGAAACAACCCAAACGTCCATCAAGTGAAGACTGGATAAACAGCGCCCAGGGAGGACAGCACTGCTGTGAGGTGTTGCTCAGGTAGAAGAGCACACCGCACAGGCTTGGGGAGGGGCCTGGAAATCTTCTCTGTGTTCAAAGGGAGAAAGCCCCTCACGGCAGCAGAGACAGCAGCAGTGACTCGGAACACTCCCCTTGTTCTGGAACCAACAGAGGAACTGCCCCCCTCCCTGCGGGGCTAGTGCAAAGGGCTGCGAAGGCTGACTTCACTTGGGGGGCGGGGGCAGGAGCCCTGGGCTGAACCCCATCTGTGAGCATTAGTTCTTCTGTTTCTAAATGGGGAACTGAATGATGTCCCCACCCGCACCTGTGAGAAACGCCTTGGCTCTACAAAGTCTGACTCTCTGCAGATGGTTGTGTGTGTAGGGCGGGGGGTTACGCAGGACTAAAGAACTGAATCCTATGGGGTTACAGCAGCCCACTCATTGTTCTTGAATGCAAATAATCCCAGAATCCCACTGGTGGAGCCACAAAGGAAATAAATGAAAAGGTAGGTCCAGGGGTACCTGGGTCTAGTGGGTTAAGCCTCTGCCTTCAGCTCAGGTCATGGTCTCAGGGTCCTGGGATCGAGCCCCACATCGGACTCAGCAGGGAGTCCGCTTCCCCCTCTCTCTCTCTGCCTGCCTCTCTGCCTACTTGTACTTGCTCTGTCAAATAAATAAATAAATCTTAAAAAAAAAAAAAGGTAGGTTAAATGTTCCTCATGTATTTTACAGCAAACACTCGTCCTGCAGCAAGGGGTTAAGAAGTTCAGAGATAGGGACGCCTGAGTGGCTCAGTTGTTAAGCTTCTGCCTTTGGCTCAGATCATGATCCCAGGGTCCGCATGCGGCACCCTGCTCAGCGAAAGCCTGCTTCTCCCTCTCCCACTCCCCTTGCTTGTGTTCCCACTCTTGCTGTGTCTCTCTGTCAAATAAATAAATAAAATCTTTAAAAAAAAAATTGTTCAGAGATGAACAGAGGGTCAAGGGGTTCTGAGTCCCCAGATGAGACAAAAGCTGGCCACAGGACCACCTCCCACAGCTCCTACAGAAGGAGGCACTGACCTGCTCCTTCTGGGGAGAGTACCCATCCCAGATCCAAGAGCTGAGAGCAGGCATGTCCACGGGGATGGCTTCTCCCCCCACTGGACACAGGACAGCAAACGCATCTGCTCAACCCCCAATCCTCCGGGCAACTTCAGCAATCCCGTGCAGCAAGACCACATCTTCGGGGCACCCCTTCTGTGAGGAATTAACCCCAGTCCCCTTCCCGTGGAGGTGGGGGGACAGAGGGGATGGAGGCTCAAAGCTCAGTGCAGGGACAGTGCGGAAAAGGGAGTCTGAGGTTCTCCTTAACAGTCCTCACATGGGAGGTGAATGACTTGATCACAAACCTGTATGAAGGCCATGTCTAGCCAGCAAA